GGGCCCACCCCCCCTTCTCCGCCCACCGCACCGCGGACGGCAGCATATTTGCCCGTGGGGCCCAGGACGACAAGTGCATCGCCATCCAGTACCTCGAGGCCATCCGAAACCTGAAAGCCGCCGACTTTGTCCCAATCCGCACCGTCCACCTGTCCTTCGTCCCCGACGAGGAGATCGGCGGCCTGGACGGCGTCGCCAAGTTCGCGGCTTCCAAGGAGTTTCGGGATTTGAACGTCGGGTTTATGCTGGACGAAGGCCAGGCCAACCCTGGCGACGAGTTTAGGGTTTTCTACGCCGATCGGACTCCGTGGAGTTTGATCGTCAAGGCGAAGGGCGCTCCCGGGCACGGGTCCAGATTGTACGACAATGGAGCGATGGAGAATTTGATGAAGAGCGTTGAGGTTATGACTCGATTTCGGGCGGCCCAGTTCGATGTGATCAAAGCCGGGAAGGCCGCCATTTCGGAGGTTATTTCGGTCAATCCGGTTTATTTGAAATCTGGGATTGCTTCTGGCGATGTGAGTTTGAAGTACTGGTTATTGTGTGTTTGTTTGTGTTGTGATGGGTCATTTGGTGTTTTGATCATAAGGTGTTTGATTGTACGCTTGTGTAGGGGTTTGCGATGAATATGCAGCCTTCGGAGGCCGAGGCCGGGTTTGATATAAGAATACCGCCTACTGTGGACCCCGAGCTTGTTAGGAAGAGGATTGCTGAAGAGTGGGCACCGGAGGCGAGGAATTTGACATACCAGGTGAACTTTTGGCTCTGTTCAGTTTCATTGATTTTGTCTATTGAGTTTGTGCATGGATTCTTCACTGTTTTCATTCAGTTAGTATAATGTGAAATTATAGGAGTTAAGAATTTATGTGTAGATAAACTAATTTCTAATTCCATTGTTAAATACATTACTCCATCAACTTAATTATATGTTTCTCTGCAAATTAGTTAGCATGAATCTGATTAGAAGATAAACCCTGCATGCAGGCTTTGTAATGGTAATATTAATTATCTGCATAGTTTTCTGATTTTTCTGTGCATCCGCAATATAAACTTTCTACTCCTCAACCCATTATATATACATATTCAATTACTGTGCGCACATTTTCCTCTCGTAGGATGATAAGAAGTTATAGTACATGTTAAATAGATTCTCAAGATTTGATATGCCCAATTTCAAAACCATTTTTTCGGACTATGAAGTTCAAGCAGTTCGTCCTCTGGTTATCATCTTTACTGATGGTGAGCTACCATGTCTAAGGCTTTTCACTTGGAAATCGGTATTAAAGTCGGACGTCAAATTAGAAAATGTGCTGAACTTTGATTTGGGTAAACAACAAATGTGGCAACTACTTATCGTAATTTCCTTATGCGGTTACCAATATTACAACTTTCCTATGGCTGGTAAGTGCCTACTTGTCATCGTTGCATCAGCTTGAAAGAGTGCTGATTCTGTATAATGGCCTCTGTTAACATTTAATAATCTACCTGAAACATTTTGGGTATGAGATTTTTTTTCTTTATCTTATTTGAAAGATATCATCTGAGACCAGTTCTATAACATTCTGCTCTACTATTAAATCACTAAATCAGGTTTGCATTATGGGGTTTGGTCATAGGAGCCAAATCCTTTTATTTTTGTTATTGCATAGTTTCCTGTACTTATAAATCCATATGCATAATCTTTTCAGAGCGCCAAAAATAGGTTTTGAGTTTCAAATGTATTGTTGATGACCACTATGCTGTCTTTTTTTCTTTGATCTGTATATTCTCTTCGTTTCCTCTATCTTCTCTGCAAACAGGCGCATAAATGAAAAATGGTTTATGACTTACTTTATATGGCAGCTAATTCAGAAAGGACCGACTAGAGACTATAGGGGTCGCCCTTTAGCAACACCAACCGATGATTCCAATCCATGGTGGTCTGTTTTCAAACAAGCTATCGCATCGGCTGGAGGCAAACTTGCAAAGCCTGAAATCTTGGCATCAACTACCGATGCACGATACATGAGACAGCAGGGCATTCCCGCTCTTGGGTTGGTTTCTCCCCAATGACGAATACTCCCATCTTACTTCATGACCATAACGAGGTTCAGTATTGTTGTTACCAGTCTTTTTAACATGCACTTATTATCAAATTCTCTTCCTGACTCCCCTCATCTCTGTTCTTTTGCAGTTCCTAAAGGATACCGTATTCTTGAAGGGCATAAAAGTATATGAATCTGTAATCAGTGCTTTGAGTTCCCTAGTGGAAACATCTGAATAGCCACCACAGTACTAAATGGAGAGAACAATGATTGCATATTAAACTTGCCATGGTAGTAGTGCTGCACCATTTTAAGTGGCGTTTTGCACTCCGGGCACTCAGGGGTGGATTCAAAGCGAGCGTCATCTGAAAGGTGAAGTTGTTGGTTTAAAATGCTTGAACAGTTTTACAAATTGTTATAAATCGTCCCCATCAAGCTTTGCAAATATTTTCTATAAATTGTCCAAACTGAATAAAAGTCCTGAATCTGCCAATCTAGATGCCCTGGACGTTCTTGTTGTTGCTGTGATTGTGTCTTGCTGTAATGTCATTTATTGTACATTCCTTGAAACGATGTATATGATTGAATAAGAGGGATTGCAAATTAATATATGGCATATATATATATATATATTATTGCTGAAGTCACAGTCGAGTATGGCGTTTGTACTTTGTTCAATGAACCACAGCTTGTGTTATTATTGGTTGGAAATTAAATAAGTGTTTAGCCGATGGTGTTCGTTCGTCATGCCTAGCATTATTAGACTGTGATACGAACTGTTGAAGACATCTTTTAATCGTTGATTTGATTATAGGCGCTGTTTCTGGTTCAACTTTATTTGTCTTTCTAGATGAAGGGGAAATTCGACTAGTGTTGGCTGGATCCTTTTTTATCATCTTCACTCTTTCAATTACCTGGATTAGATGAAATGGAAAGATAAAATTAATAAGGCGAGTCTTTCCCCAGTTTTTAGACTTGTGTTTCTATCACCACTTCCAAAATGCTCATTTCATCACTTCAGAAATAAAATTAGTTCCAATTTTATGCCCCCTATAAATAATCTCAAAACACAAATTTAATATGTTAAAGAAAGAAAATAAAACTCGAGCTGTCACGGAAACACCCAAGCTACTTGGTAGAATTAGTGTATCTCGAGATAGCGTACGAGCTCTTAAGCACCCTTCTTTTACAAGCCGGTTAAGTAAGAACAAGTTTCTATCACTAACCATAAATGTCAAAAATTCAAAAGCCGACGAGTATGGAGCAAGTTCTACCCCTAGGCTTCAGTCACCACCACCCATAAATGTTATAAGACTCGATCCAAAAAGACTAGTTGCCAAACCCGCTAGGCCAGAGTGATGATTGTGGTCATGTATAGCTCCACCAAGGCTCCAACCAAGTTCGCTTTACTAATTATTTAAATGGGATAGCAAGCTGAATAATGCTGCTACTAGTACACGAAAGATTTTAGCTCCAAATTACATCACATCTAGACTTTGGGACATACCATGCCCAAATAAATTAAAGGCACTAGTTGAAATTGAAAGCTGCATACACCTCACACCTCATGCCTTTTTGGATAACCCAGCCCCCTACATACATGCATACCTCATCAAAGATTAGTTGCTATCGTGCTCTCTATATCTAGCTAGCTGTAATATGATATCAAGTCAACAACTTTTTCTCTCTCTTTGGACTATAATTTGGTGCACTAGAAAACATCCACCAAACATTTAATTACTCATGTACGTAAGCCATTGTATATATGCCATTATATTATATATTTTGTGGATATGGTGGTTGATTGAAATTGAATCCTTTTCCCGGAACTTTCATATGGATACCAAAACAGGGGATTTGATTCTTTTGATTTACACCTTATGTACCCACATGGATCTTGCCTCTTCATTATCCAACATACTCCCACCTATGCAAACCTTCACTGCACTTTCCTATGCGGCTATGCCCATCCCTCCTCTCATCATAAACCCAATCCTCTTCCCACATATTATATATCTTTATAGTTTACAGACTCATGTCAAATAGATAAATATTTATCTTATCAGACTGTGAATTTCGACTACACATATTTTAATACTCAAACAACAATCGATTAATAATTCATATTCACAATTTGTCAAGCAGTTAAACAATACATCATTTCTCATAGTTTATATATATATTAAACCAACAATAGTGTGATGTTTAACTCTTTTGGCCTATAGGTCACTTGGCCTCAACCAAATTGGTCCCTACCTCCTCAGGGCACGACCTGCATCGATTTAATGCGGGATTTTTGTATTAGATATGTCTTTTTCATTGGTATGCAAAGTACGGAAAGCCAGAACCATTTGGTACGGTGTATGCCAGTTAAGAGATAGAATATAGATAAGGAAAGCAGCAATGAATCTTCATTCATATATTTTGGTTGGTGGTTAGAATTGTCTGGATGCATATATAACAAAAGAAAAATACTTTACTCCTTACTTAGAAAGATAAGCTATTTATTTATTTATATACAAATGATATTGAAAGAAGGTGAATCGAAATTAGGCCGTCAGGTGCAAGAGTAAATACTTTTAATCACTTGAACTATTTACTGGAAAGACAGGTTTATGCTTACCAACATATACTTGATATGATCGTAGATACTTTTAATGAATTAATACTGTATATGTATGCCGATGTAAGGAGCTAAACAGTGTTGTTACCACAGGGTAGCGAGCTCCAAGCTAAGTTTTGAAGTTGATTGGTGTATTTGTCTTCCATATATTGACTAATAAAGAGGCTCATTTGTCTTCGGCCGTCAAAAGTTTAGTTCCAAACATAGAAATATTGACTGGTACTTAATAAACCTTAAAAAGTAAAAATAAATAAAAAATAAAATTTCCCAGTCTCCAAGCTAAGTATGAAGTCATGTATTTGCTCATCTAATCTGCATGCTTATTTTGAAGTCACATCGTTCCATGATGATGAATATTGAAGACAACTCACATCCAGACCAACGAAGTTGATGTCAAGTCATGCTTTCCCATCTGAAACGCAGCTTCCTGGTAAGAGGATCGATCATATATAATGTCAAATAAATTTACCTTTGACATTCTCTGTTTTTATTTCATTTATTTATTTTTAATTAGTAGGTGAACTTGGTGGAATAGTAAACCCTGATTAACCTAGCTGGGTCAAAACAAATTTAAGTCATGGGATGATGAGCTTATAATAGTGTGACGAAACTTCCTTCTAATTTCCAACCAAACGAATAAGTCTATGCTTTTTCCAGGATTTCTGACAAATTGAAAATAAAGAAACATGAGAGGGTGTGGGATTGGCATGTGAGAGTCTTCATTTAAAAATATGGGGACATTATTCATGGAGAATCATACTGCCACCCCACCTGATATATATAATTATATAATATTATCAAAATTAATGAATATTTTCGTGAGCGGTAAATTATACATTTTATATAAATAAATAAATAAAATGCCGCTCCATTTTAAGAAAGGAGATGCCTTTAATGCTAACATGATTATGTTAAGTGTGTGAAAGACTCAAAAAAAAAAATTAAAGGGGAAGGAGGAAGGAGGGAGGAGGGAGAGGGGGATTTGTACGGATTGACGACACTATTCTTTTCACACACATGTATTATCATTGGACAAACCAATTCTGCTGCTCAACTCAACATTCAAGAAAGCCTGAGCCTCTCTCTCTCTCTCTCTCTCTCTCTCTCTCTCTCTAATAATATTTCAGATTTCAGAATTAGAAGGAAGTATATTAATTAATTTGGTCTCCTTAGTTTCTGCTAATGAGAAATGTAGCTAGCTGCATAGATAACTTGACAAGTCTTTAGAGATCACATGGACAGGGTGGTTTGTGGAAAAGCATGAAAACCCGTTCACAATAGTCGCACATATAACCTAGAACTAACTGTACATGATGTTAGGGGTTACATGTGGGCAGTTAATTAACACAACTGCACCCTGATTTGGACCTATGTTTTGACCCTGACTTTTTCAATTTAAGAACACTTTAAAATCTTTTTTTTTGGGGGTAGTTTTTCTTATTCGAATATGTGATTCAGATTGACAATGTAACAACATAACAAAATAACATTATTAAAAGTACGTGTGTCGTGGTTACTCTCGATTGACATTAATCTTAGTTAAACTCTGGAAAAGGGATTATTGGATAGATTGCTTATGACAATTCTTGCAAATTAAGAGTCATTGGTGGAGTAGAGACTGGAGAGATAACCGGACAACAATGGAGACAAGTTTGCTGGAAAGAGCTAATAAAATAGTATCTGCATGCTGCATGAGAGAAAAGAGCACCACTTTGCAAAGGGGGGCAAATGGCCCTTGCTTGGTCTCTTAGCCCTTTCAAAAGTATGTTTGTTTAAATAAAAAAAGAGCGTGTGTTTGGTTGCCACATCGTCATCACTCCATGCATGTGATGTGTGTGCATTCTGGCATCTTAGCCCAAAGTAAAATAAAGTTGTAGTTGCTGTTTTTGGTTTGTGGCCGTACCAAATCGAATAACTCAAAATTTTAGGCATTGAACAAAGAAAACAAAAAGAGAGAGAGAGAGAGAGAGAGAGAGAGAGAGAGAGATGCAGGTGTAGCCATCAAACAGTTGTGTGTGTGTGTGTGTCTGAGAGAGAGAGAGAGAGAGAGATTAATTAATTTTATTAAATTCAAGTTTGTACTTTTAATTCTATATATTTTTGCATGAGGAGGAGGAGGAGGAGGACCATGGGACGCGGTTTTAGAGCTCTGCAAGACAGACAAGTTACAGCTGTGTGTGTGTGTGTCTGTATATATTACATCTGCAATGACTTACTTGCTGTAGACTGCGCGTACGTTTTTTAGTTTTTGTGTTTAATATTTATATAATGAAATTACGCACTCTCTTTTTTTGGTAATTTTAAAAAAATGTGAACATTTTGTTTTGTGTTTCACAGCCCAAATTATGAAACTGGTTATTTTATAATTGTTTATAAGCATCAGCTGCAGATCCTGGAAGTTGCCTCTTTTTAGAAAAGAATCCTATGTTTCTCTCTCCCTGATCTCTTCTCTGTGCATTATTGCATCACCTACATCATGCTCACTCTATTAAGATATGATTCCTTAAGCTAAATATAGAAACTAAGACATTAGAGTAACATCACATAACATGGGTGTGCAATTACCATTTTGCCCTTGATTTCGTTACACACTGACTATACCGATGTTAGGACTCGAAACTAGGACCTACACTAGTGGGTCCTTAACTTGCTAAGTAATATTTCTTGGGTGTCAACTTACCCAAGGGGGTGACTTGTTGTGTAAGTCAAAAACTCTCTAGAAAGAAACAGTCATTTACTTTTAATAATTAAGAAAACTTTCCATGCCGGTTTTCTGATTTGAGCCTATGGATCCCAGTCCAGGTTGCCATATTCGTTGACAATGGAAAAAATTTACACTTTTAAAGTCGATGGCTTTTCTGATTTGAGCCTAGGAAAGCAAACTGCCAGCAAATTAAAAATGTAAATGCAAGTATCTTTTATTTATTTATTTTTTCTAATCTTTAAGAAACAATCTTTCACTACCCACAACAAATTATTTTGACTGAAACAAGACAGAAAAGTAAATTCAGAGATAAACAATAATTTATATTTTATATAAAACTGATAATATCTGTCACCCATTTTGTTTTTTTTTTTTTTAAAAGCACTTTAGAGCCATACTGTTTTCTTTGACAAGCTAGAGAGATCCTGGCTGTGTGTTAGCTTTTTTAGCCCAAACGCGCATCTATAAATAGCAGCAACCTTTCCTCATCCCATTGAGTTCCCATCACATTCATTCATTTCTTCAGCTGCACAAGAAGTATCAAAAACAAGTCACAGAAACAGAAAACAAAAATATCAAACACCTTTGTTCACTGATCTTGTGCCCTAATTTGTTCAGCAAAACACTGGTTAATTTGATCCTTATATCCAAGCTCATCAACAAAGGCACTGTGTTTTCTTATCAGCCATGGTGAAGACAGAGCAGAGGGTTCAGCTCACAGAGACATCAAAGCCAATGCCATCATCCAGAACATCATCAACATCAGCATCTTCATCAGCTTGCAAGAAGAAGAAGTACAAGGGAGTGAGAATGAGGAGCTGGGGTTCATGGGTTTCAGAGATTAGAGCCCCAAATCAGAAGACAAGAATATGGTTGGGTTCATATTCTACAGCAGAGGCAGCAGCCAGAGCCTATGATGCTGCCCTCTTGTGCCTCAAGGGATCCTCAGCCAACCTCAACTTCCCCTCCACGGCCTCCTCTCATTTTATCCCTCAAGAAATTACCATTATGTCCCCCAAGTCCATCCAGAGAGTGGCTGCAGCTGCTGCCAATAGTTTTGCCATTGATAATGCCACCACCCCAACCACCACAAATATTGCCTCCCCACCATCACCCCCTCCTCAATCTTCTTCATCTTCATCCTTGGTCTCCTCCCCATCAATGTCTTCGTCCCCGTCCAATAATCTCCTAGACGACGACATGTCATCACTGATGGGGTCATTTGAGCCCTACACTCCTACTTATGATCATCCCCATCAGGCAATTGATCAATTACCAATGTCTAGCATGGAACCATGGAACAACTTTGATGATGGCCTACAATCCCCAAAATACATTGACCAGATGTTCAATGGCACCTTCTTCGATCCACCCATGATTTATGACTTTTATGAGGAAAGTGATATTCCCTTGTGGAGCTTCTGCTGATGCACCCAATTCATATTATTCTTTTTTAATCCAATTCAAATTCATTCATGATCTTCGAAGCCATTTGCTCGGAGATTTTACTGACAGTGACACAAATTTTACATTCTATAATATGAGTGAGTGAGATAGGTGAAGAAATTCCCAAGGGAGATTGAGACATTTTTTTGGACTCTATCTCACATGGGTTTCTATTATATAAAAAGATATGTTGTATTATATTTTATTTATGTATTATCAATTAATGCAAATTAAGTGTGTAATATATTATGCAATTGTTGTCAATGGTTTTACATATACATTAATATTGAATAAGAAGTGGAAATTTTTTCTTTTTTATTCATTCCAATTTCATCTATGTACCCCTCCCCGTGTTATGTCTCTTGTCTCATGTGGGAGGCTCATTGATTGTGTATGGAAGTGTCAGCTCAGATATGCCTATCTCAGTTGGGAACAAATTAAAGAAGAGGAGCAGGAGGAGGTTGTGGAAACTTGAAACCATCTGAAGGAACAAAATCTTTTTCTTTTATTTTGCTCCTTGGGGAAATCAATCTGATGAGAAAAGGGAGAGACCCAATCCCATGGCCTTAAGATGGGATTTCACCAGTTAGCACCTGCAAAAGGGTATTGGTATTAAAAATTCTGATGCAAGTCATATGATAAACAGTGTTGTTGTGAACTTGAAGCTACTTTGATTCAACGAATACGTCAAACTACATGTGAAATGTGGAAACCCATAATATCTGAGTCATAGCTTATTGTGCCCAAGTTTCAATTGGAGAATCCTAATGATCATTTAAAACTGCCTTCCAATTTTGTTCTCACACAATCTAACATGTTAATATTACCATATTACAATTGAGTAAGTGAGATCATGTTTGAAATTATATTCGGGGGTTAACAATATGAAAACATAACAAATCGAGAAAAACTCGTGTAAAATTGTTTTTTATATATGATAATATCGATTAACTGGACAATTTGTTTGAATGATAGCCGTAACATGTCATCTTTTAACCAGAATTTTTTACCACTTACTCGAATAACTTTACGAAGTTATTCCCAGAAAAGGAAGTGTCTAATCAAAACAGATTGAATCGACGAATTTGACACTTTGTGAGCAAAAGTTGAATCTGGTCAAGTGTTTGGAGGTAGTGGTTCAACCCAAGATTGCACATGATCTGTCCAAAAGAGCAGTGGGTGAGTGAGAGAGAGGGAGATCACAGCATGGGGTCCCATCCTCATTTGTTTCCCTCTACACTGTATTTGGTCTCTTCACAAACTTCTCAATGGGCCATAACCATTTTGGAAATATGTGTTTTTTTTTCTTCTCTAACTTCTGAATATTATTAGAAATTATAATATGGGCATTTTTGGGCCCTCAAAAATAAAATTCAGCACATTGTGTTACTGCATTGTTTTGTACCCGTTTATATAAAAATTGGAGGCACATGATCAGCCCTAAATGACAATTCTCTAGAACTACATTTCACGACACAACATGTGATCTCATCTCATGGTTTCAAAAAAAAAAAAAAAAAAAAAGGTTTTGTTGTTTTGGGTTATATGAGCTAATGACACTTTAGACCAAAACAATTAAAAACTAATGACACAAAATTTGGATGTTGAATGGTGATCAATAAGTTTATCGTTTTTGTCCTTTGTTTATATTTTCGTTCTAATTGATTCCATTTTATGTAATTTGGGATTTGTTTTGGTTGATCCTTCATTGGCTCTAAAAATCTTAACCTAATTAATGATAATTGAGGGAGATGCCCTTTGTTTTTCTTAATTAGAATGATTAATTATGATGTTGCTCAATATGTAGCCTCATGGGGGTCAGATCCAACATTTGCATAACTTCAATGATTTAGGGTTGGCCTCATTAGGACAAAACCAAATGAAGCTTGATAATTGATTGATTAATTACAGTGTTTGTCTCTCTTTCTATTCTATTTTTTTAGTTTTGGAGAATCAATCCCAGGGTTTTGTTTAAGCCACAAATATACAAGACATTATACAGATTTTGCAATACCAGAAAACACATACAAATTTTTTTAAGGGCTCTAAACTTGGACCGATAGATGTGGCATTTCATTACCTTTTTTTTTTTTTTATATATATATATATACAAGGCTAACAAGCGATATTAGAAAAGGAGGAACTCGAACACATGACCTGAGGTGCAAAAATAACTGCTCTTAACCACTTGAGCTAAATTTGCTCATTTCATTACTGGTGTTCTATGATTAGCTAAACTAAATGCCTACATGGCTTACTCTTACAGCTCATTTGATATGTATGACGCGTTGAAAATGATGTTTAGTTTTTCACCCCTAAGCCCAGCTCATTAACGCGTTCAGTCAAAGGTCTCTTTGCATCCAAAACAACACATTGATTATTAATAATCTGAGGGATTGAGTGTAAAGAAATTAAGCAAGTAATAATAAGTGAGAAATAATATTTTATTAATTATTTACTAACAGTGATGTAACAAACAGTTTGTAGCTTAAGTGGTTAAAGCAGTTGTCCCTGAATTTGAAGTCATGTGTTCGAATTCCCGATTCTCCAATTTACTTGAATTTAATGGGATGTACAAGCTCTTGCTCAAAGGCCCACACACTTTGAGGCCTTTGTTATGCAAACAAAACCATAACTCAGGATTTTTATTGGGCTTGCGCACCCTCATTGTAGCCTTTCGGGGGTCTAAATTCTCATCAAATTCCAACCCAGGAACCCATTTGATTCATCTTGACAACCCGAGTCCGAGTTAAGGGCACCAATTACTTTCTCCGTTTTTCGAATAAGAAAAAGAGAAGAGGCCTTCGCGCATAGAATCTGGTTCTGCGCCTCATCGCCGTCTTCTATTTGCAAACTCTTTCTGGTTTGCCTTTGGCTCTGCAAAACCGGTGAAGCAATTATGGGTCTTTCCAAGGAACAGTTGCTTGCTCGTTTAAAGGTTCTACCTTCTCTCTCTCTCTCTCTGGGTGTTTCATTTTAGTGTATTTCTCTGTATATTGGACTATGCCATTGAATTTGATCTGGGAATTCTTTGCTTTGCGTCAGAGTTCAATATTCGAGGTGAATTAGAATAGTCACAGTTGATGGGCGTCTTTGATTCTTTACAATTTATGCGATAAGCCATATATTGAGTGTTAACCAATGGAACCCAGATGAAGTTTGTGAAGAATAGTGAAAGTGATTACAATCCCATATTTTTGCTAAGTACTCTTCCATGCCTTGTTCAGCTGTGATGATAAACAATTTCATAGCTTGCAATAGTTTCTATTTACTTTGGTTGCTTCAAGGTCTTTGAGTTTCAGAGTATATCAAATCATAAGATATAATCATCTGGTAACAATGTGATACTTAGTGGAGCAACTATTTGGGCTTATTTATTTTGGAGTTGCATTTGGTTCATCTTGTGAATGAAAAGCTAAAGTAGTGAATTTCTGAAACTACAGAGAAAATTGTTTTCTGATACTAGAATGTGCTTACATTGTTGCGTATGGCTATGTTTTTAAACTTTAACTGCTGAATCCCTTTAATTTCCTGGAACTAACTTATACTGTTGGTTTTGTTAGGATCTTCAAATTGGTTTTTCCCAGTATGAACATCCTGTTGTTTTGACAGCTGAGGCTCAGGTTAAAGAAGATAAAAGAAAAGGGGAAAAAAATTTGTCTTCCATCTTTTTGTGTTAATTGTTTTATGTATTCTGAGGCAAGCATATGATTTTTCCATCAGGCGAAATATGTTGGACATCTGGGAGGTGGACTGAGTAAAAATTTATTCTTGAAGGTATTGTATTCTAATACTTTGGGAAACAGCATTTGCATTGCATAATAGTAAATTTTGCAGTTTTTGTTCTCTTCCATTTTCCACTGTGCGGAACAGCTCCTACAGTTTTTTGTTTCTTAATTAAATGCAGGACAAGAAGAACAGGTTCTATATTGTTTCCGCTTTGGCGGATACTAAAGTAGATCTGAAAGGTATGCACGTATTCCTGATTCTGATCATTGTGTTATGTATCAGCATTTTGAATGTCACAAACTAGTGGTTCTGAGCTATCATATAAATGATTTTTTACTTATGTACCATTTGGAGTGTGCCTGAACATTTCTAAGCTTTATTTACAACTTGAAAGTTGAGCAGTTCTATCTATAAGGCTTGGTTTGGGAAAAGGTGGTTTGAGAATGGCTCCTGAAGAAGCACTCGGAGAATTACTTCAGGTTGGCATATGCTAATCTTCAATTTAATCAGATTAAAAATGATATTGATTCTTTGATTTCTAAGATCTTCTGGCATTGTCAGCTTATGCTTTCGAATTTATTGGCTATATTTAATATGTATATTTAAAAAACAAAAAGAGATATGCTATTACAAAAAATGTCATGTAATATGTAATTTCCTTTCCTATTCTGTTTCTTATTGCAAGGTCCCACTGGGTTGTGTTACTCCGTTTTCGCTGGTGAATGAATCTGCAAGGTATACATTACTCTTTCATTTAATTAAGATATTAAAATTATATATGGTTCTCTTCTTGATATTTCATTCACGCATTATCATTTGTTACTCTTGGCCATGAACTTATAATGCTTGTGAAATGATTTGAATCAGTTACTTCTTACCATTTGATTGATGTTGTTTTGCCTATGTAATTTTACATTAATCAACAATTGACTGAATAAAAATCGTAATTCTGACCATTTTGATTTTGTGGGAAAATATTCCATGGCCAGCATTACCATTTTAGGTGGTGGGAATAACTTTCTTTCCAGCGGAGTTAATGTTATTTAGCCTGTGCATGTTGATACTTTACTCCTTTTTTTCATACCTTTTTCTTTTGTTGACTTCTTTCATTTTTTCTTTTTTTTTGGTGAAGGCATGTCTCTCTGTTGTTGGATCAAAAATTTAAAAGTCAGGAACATTGCTTCTTCCACCCATTGTCGAATGACACATCAATCTGTAAGTGATAAGGTTTGATGAGCGAAAATGATATATTTGTCTTCTCTTCTTTCGTATATTCTGATGAACTTTCATGTGTTTACTAGTTTAGTTGTTTGTTCTTCTCTTTATAAACCTCATATCTATTATGCGTATAGCCTTACCTTGGATGTCTCTTATAGATTGAGCATGATGTTCCAAGTCAATTGCAGGAAATT